TAGGTCAAGCAGCTTGGAAATCACAAGTGAATTGAGCGATACAACATTACTGATCTGCAAATTCAATGTGCCCCTTTTTCCTGACCCAGTACAGTAAAACATGTAATAAACACATTGGTCCACTGTGTCCATTTCATGCTTGGCCTCTCCAAAGTGTGAAATGGACACATGCAGTTCCAGCAACCTGAAGTAACAGCATAGGGATATTTCACTTCAAGCCAACAAGGAAACAATCACAGGAAAGTGTGTAAACAGACATTGTTAACACATTTACATGTAAAGACATACTATCCATCTTGCTTAATTGTTTTAAGAACCCTGGAATGTACTTCATATGTTGCTTGCTCACTACCGACTTCTTGCCTTTACATATTTTGTCTCCCGTTGCTGGTAATGCAACTTGTGCTTCATTTTACTGCTTCTGGAAAACATTTTGTGAACTGTGTCAGTTCTAAGTATCAATAAATTTATCTGACTGTTGGAAGAAAAAAAAATGAAGACAACAGGTTTTCTGGGTCAATAACACATAAAACACACATATTTCTCCTTTTATGTTTGACTGAGATGCAGGAAGTAATTAGTAATTACTTAAATGCAACATAAAATATCTAATGATAGATTGTGTTTTCATTTAACACAAATGTTTAAAACGTTTACAAAAAAACAAGGTTGTCATCTGTATAAGCAAACCCTTCATTTCATGTTAGAAACACTTCTGTCTATCGTGTCATTTCAAAAACGAAATCAAGCAAAGATCAAATATTAAAGTCATGTCCTCTTTATTTATCTGTGGTTTGTTTAGGTTTTTTTTCTTTCTTCTATAAAGCTATTATGTTTCAGAATGATCTGCTTTCAGGTTTGTACACATTTCTGTCAAAACAATAGTTTAAATACTACAAAGAGTTTCATTGCTGTCATCGCTTTTCTTCGTACCTTCGTTGCACATTGGGCAGCACTGTCCGTCATTTGTTTTATACTCATTTGGTCGACAGGATAACACGGGCACTATGAAGACAGCGGCGTATCCTACAGGAAAACACATGAGTTTTAATATCGTGGGATAGATATATAGCTCAGTTAGCTCACAAGCTAAGCTAAGGTTAGCTTAAGCTAAAAGCTGTGTCGTATACACGAAACTGCTGCTGTACTTACCGAAGACAAACAACGCAGAAACCATGATATCACATCCTAACACGCTACACATTTGTAGGCTCTATTTCACCAAATTTCTATATAAATCTAACAGCAATGATCGCTTTTGGGTTTTGATGTGGGTGTAAACAGGAAATCAATTAATTTTTGGAAAGAATGAGCATCAACGGTTTTTGTGGCTTAAAACAGAAACCGAAAACAAGCCGTTTTATGGCGTTTGAGGGCAGATGGGGATCAACTTCGCGTAGATAAATACAAATAAGGGGAGAAGGCTTGAAGGAAATCGTAGGATCTAATAGCTGTGTCCCAAAACCAGGTATCCTCGACAGACACCGCCCTTCGCGGTCTACGTGGGCCGGGTCATTCGAAGACCGAGAAGGCCGGAAGTGCATGGCTGTGAAACTGGAGATGTGAGGGTGCAGGAAATGAAATAAAACCAGCTGTCTGTGATACCGACTAACATGTTGGCTCCTTAACTTCATAAAAAGATGCAAACTTTTTAGTGTCCATGAATCTGAAGAACTACAGTCTGCTTTACACAAGTTTGTTGAAGGTTTTCTTTATTGTCTCTGTGCAGTCAACCTTTTTTTTTTATGAAATATTCCCCATAAATACATTACAAGGATAACTATGGCAACGTAAAATGTTACGCTTTGGGATTGAGAACGTGTTGACTATGAACTTTCATCTACACAAACATCCACAACCAGTTCCAAGGAAAATCTGTATATGAAAGATAAAAACATTAGAAACTGCTCTTCTTTGTTCCATAATGCTGCAGTAAAAATCTGATCGTCTCTAAATATCGCAAAGTGCTTCATTACAAAATTCTAAGACATTAAAACAAAACTTCACCCAAATACAAGTTTAAAAAGTTGAGTTTTTAGCTGCTTTTTGAAAAAGATCACAGAGTCCACAGTGAACATTTCACTGTTGTCTTGCCTGCTGCTTTGACCCATTC